ACTGATGTCTTTGCACAAAATTTGCTTTCGCTTAATAGAGCTACCATTATTGGAGATTTGGCAAAGAAAAATGTAATTGCATGTGCAATTGTCCATATCGGCAATTTCCTGTTTTTTTCCGAAGTTTTTTGTCTGGCATATGTGTAAGGGTCATAATAATCGCTTTCAGTTTTTGCGCGCTTTTATTTATTAGAGTTTTTGATTGTTTGATGAGACTGCAACTGTAGCTTGTAAATGAACCAAGCATCAGTTATTTTTAACAACGATGAATGGTGGCATGTTTGCCGTTTTTTGTAATGAGCGGAAGAAAATCTTCAGTTTAACATTAAACCTAAAAATAATGTATGTGTATGTAGAGAGCAATGTTCGTACATACAAATTCGGCGGCTGAGATGAAACAAGGTGCAAAAATAAATTTCGAATAAAACAAATTGCCGCTTTAACAGGATTATATCAAATTATGTTATCTACTTATGTATATACACGTACATACATGGATTTCGCAAGGATATCAGCATTTCAATAGTTCCTTGCATAAACATATACAGGAAGATATACTACGTTTATCGTAGTCAATAATTTAAAAATACATACGGTGAGTTATTATGAAAATAAATTTCCTTGATAAATTCTTGTACTGTACGATAAATGTGTTTATATGATACAAATACATGAGACGCATCAGCCCTGCCTAATGTATGTAACACGTAAAGAAAATGGCGTGGCGGCCCAGCCTAGCATGCACATGTTAACTGAAGAATTTGAATTTTGCACAGGAAATGCGCATAAGTTGTAAGTTAAATACTTCGTACATGTCTTTTCCGGGATATTCATCCATGCTTTGGCAGCCAGATCGGCGGTCTAATGAGATGCGTACGGCGTCGTGCGCGGCCTAGATGTTCATGAACAGATACAACAAGTTGCTGATGCAAATCGGCTTTGTTTTTGGTAGCAACTCGAAGGAAGCTGGTATACAAGTCATCACCAACGTATATAAATCGACTTGCCACAGAATGCAGTGAAGCTATTCAAAAAAGATGGTTGGGTGTGCTCGAAAGTGAATGTTTTTGTGAATGTACAGAGCACATGCCCGAATTGGGTACCATGTACCGCCCCTTAAGCTTACTAAACGCCGTCGCTTTGTAATTTGTACCGTACTTCTCGTGCATATTAAACCATACTCGTACTCTTTAGGTTTTTTATCCGTTACGGTTTTTAGTGCGGCATGGCATCGTCGTCGCTTATTCCCACTATGTCACCTTGCGGTATTATTTTATTAGGCCGCCACAAGTAGCTACTGTGGAGAATTGTCCGTAGAAATGCATCATATATTATTAGTTTTAAGTAAAATGTCATCGAATAGGTAATAAAGTGTACAATACGGGTACTTGCTTATTGCAGTAACCGGGTGTCGCATGCGCACGCAGTTTCAACGCCCATATATATGCACTAATCTTTTTGCGGTAGAATACTTTAAACAGTGTAATGCGAACAGTAATTGGGAGTGGAAGTTTAGGCAAATGTATCTTTGTAACAAAATTTTTGTCATGTGCCGCTTCGACATTAAACGGCCATCGGTCATGACCTCTCCACACTGTACGTTCCGTCGCTTTTTTAGTATCGAGAGCATGCAGCACAATGTGGAGAGGTTATGACAAGCGATCTCGTTGCGAATTCGCAAACGGGATCGCTTACCGCGTGGACATTGTGGACCCGACCTTGTACGAACGCTGCGGCCAAACAGCTGAGTATCTACAGCACGCCACGTTTATAATCAAGAGTTATTGTGATTGCCGCCATACAACGCGGTAATGCCGCCATTATCCTTGGTGTAAGTAAACGCATTTGCACTACTCGTACGTTACCTAGTAGTTATTATCTGTTTTCGATTTTTTTAAAAGCTTAAGTCTTGTGCTTTTATGGCGTCTGACAATTGTGCTCGTATCAGTATTGCTATATTTTGTTTGGACCAATGAAAATAATTTTCGTTTAGACAATTTAATTCTTTATTATATTTACTGAACTTCATGCATAACATATGTGGAACAAGTGGTCTCTGAATCGTAAACTGTTTACCATAAACAAAAACGTTTACCATAAACCTCTGTTTACCATAAACAAAAATGTGACTAAGAACCGTGCTCAAATTCTAACTACAGAATTCTGTACATGGCGTACTCGCCGAGCTTTGCCGATTCGAAGTTCAAGGTGAATGTTTGGTGTTTGCCCCTTCAAACGTGTTCTCGTTTGTCACAACATTTTACCATTTTCAACCTTTCACGAGTGCAGAGGGTCCTAGCAACCGGAGCTCATACGAATCGCTTTAAATTTCCTGAATAAAAATTCTCCATTCTCTGGCGTTCCAAGACTTTACTTCTTTTTATAAGTACCAGCAAATGGACGATAAAATACCACAGCGATCGAAATATCTTGTGGCGGGAGATTAGCATGGCTTCGAAACTATTTTCACTTACTGGTATTTTGTTAGCAATTACGGGGAATGAAACCAAGCCGACCGATCACAAAAATTAATTCCTTTATTTTCCCAATACGGTGCGGTTGTCAAGAAATGGAACCGATCGTGCTTTCGAGTCGACGTACATGAATCGGAAATGGTTAGATTCAGTACCGTTATGATATGAATATAAGATTGTTTCAGTAATCATTTTGCACTTCGAGAAATACTCGTATATAACGTGCTCGCAAGATTTCCGTCTATGTGTCTATGCGGTATATCTACAAAGACGGGAATCTTGTCGGTTGAGAATGTACTAGGCACCAGCAACACCTTGCTCTGAGGACACGAATGCATGCTATCTGAGTATCTGTACACGATCACATTATTCACATGATCACATCCATAGTTATCAGGTAAATCTAACCTAAAATGTTTGGAATATGGTTGCATGTTTTTGTCCAGAAGAACAATTACACCAGAACCGGACACTGGGTTTTCTGTTAGTGATTACTAAAATTATTCTCCCAGAGATATCATTAATTTAAGTTATACACGTCTGCGTAATCGCCAACAAGAATTTTTTTATTCTACAGACTCTTCGTCTTGTTATTAATTTACCACGTTATAAAAAATGTGTTGTAATGTATCATGAACCATGTATCGTCATGAAGAATGTTGTATTGTTTAAAGAATGTAGAAAATTGAATGAATGTAGTGCAATTTGCATATTTTCTTGTTTTCTTACATGTCCTCACACTTTTTGGTTCTATTCTTGATTTCCCGTCCTAGCTTAAAAAAGGCGATCCTCATAGCAAAGGCCGGATAACAAACAAGTTAAGTATTACTAATGTTTCGAGTACATCAGTACTTTTCAAATCGGTGGCTTTCGACCTTTCCTGTATATTCGCTTTAAACATAGGCCAGACGCTACGTGCGTGCGCAAGAAATTCAGAAATTGAAACAGCTCAGGCTATATCAATAATGGGGCTAAAGTCGAAAAACCGCAAACAATTTAAGTTGAAAAAAGCCTTGATATGATTGAAACGGAAACATATTGATTGATCCAGTGCAGGCGGTTATTGTGCTTAGTGAGCTGTCAAGCGACTCGTTATTACAGGCTTTTACAGCAGCAGCGTCTATCTGGGCAACAAGGGCTGCCCTTGTGCATTAGGAGAGTAAAAAAAGTGAATTCATGAGTATAATCTGTATAATTCATGAGTATAATCGCTCAGCTTATCACATTGGTAGCTCATTCCATTGCATGACTAATATGCCCGTGCACATTAACGACAAGCTGTAACTTTTAAAGTCACTTCTGCGCTCGCATGCAGTACTTTATAGTGCGCTTGCGACAGATGTGGCTATGAGCGCTTCGAAAAGTATTGATAGAAGTATAGTAGAAATTTCCTGGATGATCAGTGCATCCCGTAACGCATCCTGCATATCCCAAGGGTCATGACAGGCTCGCCAGCTGCTAGCACCGTTACAGATTTGACCCCATGGGTGATACCATCCTTTATCAATGGCTGCGTCTGCCCAATCGATGACCATGTGTGGACTTATGGTGCGCTGGACACTGGTGTCGATGCTCCGCCCACGTTGTACCGCCGCGGACCGGCCAAGCAGCGCGTCAACGGACTGGCACTGAACCTGGACGCTGGCTTTACACACGGGCTCAAAACCCGGCCGGCCAAGGGTCCAAAGAGTTTTCCGCAGCGCTACCAGTTGGCACCGTTGCGACAATGGTGTCAGGAGCACCCGGACATCTTTAGAGATCCTGCGTTAGTATATTTAAATACTTTTACGCGTGTTTCGGTTGATTCAGTTTCACTTTGGACTTTGGCACTGCAAGTTCGAATTGTGCCGTATGCTTTATGATGTTTGCAGTTGTAGACCAGAAGTCGTCTGCTGGGCTGGATTGCTGAAAACGATTATGCTCACGCCGGCACATTTGCACAACCCGGAAGGTAGGATTAGCTCATAATTATAACGGGCAACGGAACCGGCTAATATCGTACTGCTCGAAATATTGCTTACCCATCAACTGAAGATACCGCAGCAAATACGTCGCTACATATACTTCTACTACCCTAGCATTTCGGCATTTTATACTACCCTTAATTTGGCATATACTGGCATTTTATTGCTCAAAATACTGTAGTTCTGTCGGCAGCTCTGCGCAAGAATAATAGTTTTCACAGCAACATACACAAATTGTTGATTATACATAAGGATGATATAAAACGCCTAAATATATATAATTTTATGTAAAACTTAATGGTTAATATGTATACATACTATGCATACTGTTATGAGTTCTTTATGCAGCCACAGGGTGGATCGTGTTGGCCTGGAAAATCGAAGGAACGCTGTACCTGGCGCACGTGAACCGTCCAGCAAAGCCCGTGGAACAGCCCGCGATGAAAAAATCTTCGGAAAAGGATAACGAAGACACGGAGCGCTACTCATTCTGGTAGGCGTGCAATAAAAGTATACTGGTTAAGCAGCGGAACCACATTTAGTATACTTCATATGCATACTGTTTTAATCTTTTTAACTGCACGAAATCAAGGTGATACTATATTTTATTTTTCGCTTATCAAATGTGAACAGCATTTATATCAAAATTCAATTAACCTTTCCGCTGATGTGTACTAGGCGCTTTTGCCGCTTTGTATTTTCGCATGGTTACCCGCAGATGTGTCTAGAGAATGTTTAATTTTGAGTGCCGGTTGTTAGTGAACTCTGCAAGAAAAACGGGTGTATCTGTACACAGTGACGTGAAAAGCGTTTGTGCGCGCCTTAACTTTCAAGCTTTCAAGTGCGCTATCAGGTGCACGTTAGTGAATCTATGCTTAAAACTTGTAATTTAAAAGTAGATTTTTATAATAAGTAACAGTACTCGTATTCATAACAGTAAAATTTCATTTAACGCTGCCCCTCAATCCTTCCAATGTTCCGAGTACAGAAATGGCGTTGCCTCGCTGAATCTCCAGCGACAGCCGTTGGCGAAGGAATTCATGAGAGCGAGTTCCACCCGTAGAAAGTTGGAGTCGCTTGTCGAATTTTTTCACTAACAGGATAGCTGACTTTCCACTTTCCCCATAGATCGAGTGTGTCAAAGGCTAGCAGTGTGAGACGTGTCTGTTTGATTTGAAGACGTATCTGTCGTTTAGATAAGTTCCGTCAGTAATATTTAGTTATCACCCTTATTCTGCGTTTTAACAAAGCCACACCGTTGTCTTTTAATGTACAGTGCTTACAACTGGCGTCACCAAATTTGCCGATATGTAATGGCTATGCATTATTAGCATCAGTTTTGCGTAGTGTTTTGGGTACAGGGGCCAGAAGTTCGAGCAGTGTCTCACTAATTCGAACGAGGAAGCGAACTTCAGCGATACATTAGCAGATAAGACCAGCTACATCGCGGTCCGATCGCGCCGAATTAACGGCATCAAAGTCCTGTTTGGAGCGGAGATAGATTGCCGGGATCCGGACGGTTCCGGACGCTACGTTGAACTCAAAACAACATCCGTCGACGCCATAAGTACCCACCAAGGCAGGAGTATGAACAATGCCAAAAACAATTACAAGTAAGTCAGCATATTACGGGCTTTACATTTTGACTGTGAGAAATTAGTGCACCTAGAAAATGTAATCAAATCCCCATTAATGTTTTTACACAATTTTAAAAAAACCTTCCCTGACCGTAAGTACAGAGAATTATATCTCTATTCTCTACTATGCCTTCGCTGTGACCCACAGCCTGTGAGTACGAACTCGCTGCCTATAATTAAAAGCCGATCCGGAGCCACCGTTACAATTTGTATAATTTTTGCTGTTACTGTATATCTTTAAGAAACTCTTTGTAGACGAGTAGTCGAACCATCTAATCTGCATTGCAGTCGCTTCAAGATGCTGAGTTGGTGGGCTCAGTGTTACATTGCTGCAGTCCCAAAAGTGCTTGTCGGCTACCGGACTGCTGACGGTTGTTGCGTTTCGACCGATGAATTCTACACTGATGATCTTCCCGCCAAGAGCAAGGTACTGACAAGTGACAGCACAACCCGAACCATTGGCGCTTTAGCTAAACAAAAGGATTTCAGCTTGGCGGCTGAAGAGCACTGTACATGTACTGCAGTAGTACAGTGACGTACTGTTATACCATAATCTGTGACGATTATTGCGAATTTCAATGTGTAAAGGTAGTAGTGAGTAATTTCAGTGTGTAAAGTGTGTGTTCAGGCAGTAGTTCGTATTTCGAAGTACTTGGTGCCAACTTTGTATGTACAGTACTTATTCCTACTTGCCTGTTAAAGGCCTGTTTTTTAAACTTTTTGAAATTTTATTTGACCGATAACTACGCTATTACCTGATGCTTCGAGCACAACGTGCACCCGCCACTGCATTTAAATTATGTGCCTAAAAACTGTCAAAAAAAGAACGCAAATGAGTGTCTGGGAGGGCGCGAAAGCGAAAGTTTCCGTGCACGTATACGAATTCGGTACCAAGTACGATGCTGTACCCGGGTCGTACTTTCCCTGCACCATTAGGTAGCACCGTAGCAGTATCGTTTCCTGGTTTCAGGCGGCAGGAGCTGAGTGGAACTGCCAAGATGCTATTAATTTTCTGGGTGCCTTTCTGGATAAGGTGAAAAAGACAACGAAAGAGGACTATACAAAGTGAGTGGGCCGGTCTTTGGCTTGTTGACGTGAAAGATTTTTGAGCGCGCAACATGCTGCTTTTTCCGGGCGGCTGTAGTGGATAGTTCTTTTGCAGGAATATGTACACATTTGAATGGAGCCCCGGAACGTTATTAGTCAAAATCTACAGCATCACAAAGAACCAATCAAAGAAGAGCAGTTACTGTGAAACAGCAGCGTAAACTCCGGCTATTGTCCTAATTATTTACTTTCCTATATTGACGGATTATCTAATGCAGAATCAGATATGTACTTTGAAATTTTTGTGATAATTACAGATATGTGGCTGGTTTCATCATTGTTTGCTGCTTCCAGTAGTGCAGTTGCTTTTAGTTTTCTATCGAATTTCTTGTTTACGTTTATCACGTTTTGTCATAACTGTTAAACATTTTATTTGCATTTAATGGGCTACACAGCTGGGCAAAGCAAAATGCAGTACAAATAACTGTATCGACCTAATCTCCTGATGATATCTGCAATGTGCACAATCGTCGATCAGATGCTCACTCAAAAACACTGCTTTAAAAATGGGACGCTAAAACTGGAATGGAGGAAAAAGAGGTTCGATGCGAAGATGCAAACAGAAGGGATTGTTAGAATGGGGAGTATGGTGGAATACGGCACGAGCGCAAATGGGATCCCTCTGGACCGTACATTCTGCTTAGTAATTTTTACACATGTATTTGTTGGTAACCGGTTAAAGTGACGTTTCAAGCTGCACCCTCCGTGTGAAAGTGGATCGTGACAGGGAGCGGTTTTCAGAATTCCATACAATGTACTATTCCGCTTACGTAGATATTGCAGCCCTGCATAATTTCCATATCCGGTGAAGAGTTGTTTGTTACTGTTTAAAGAAATTTGCTTTCGCAACTGTAAATCCGCTGAACCGGCAAATTGTTTCCTTAAGCACTTATAACCGATGTGTAACGTGCCTCGATGTATCACGTACTACAGTCGCACACACATTTTATATTATTCCTTATGAATAAATGTTTTCAGCGCACGGCTGCATCGCCAAAATCATATTATCGCTCCAATGAAAAGTACTTAACTGTTGTTTGTCCTGAGAAGTGCATCAATTCCTTTTTGCTGTCCCCGGTTTTGAAAGAGGGATAGTATTGCAGCTGTGCTTTGCTTGTAATTGTAACTGTTCGTATTTGCAATAATGCAAGCTCTACTGTTACAGATGTCTGGTATTCTCTCATTGTTCCTGCTTTCTTCCTACCTGGTGGAAGAAGCCCTGTGCGCCAACATTCAATGGAACGGTAACTGGGCCATGGGCTGCGACTTCTCCGGGAACGATCTATCCCGCGTCCAGGTACCCAGCGAGCAATGCGGTGGACAGTGTGCCAACAATCCCCAGTGCACCCATTTCTCCTGGACCCGCTCGAAGGGTGTTCCTGAAACGCGGTGCCATCAGCAAATCCAACGCCATAACAGTCGGGGATACTTCTGCAGTCTGCGGAGTGATTCGCGAAACGGCCGGCAGCAGCAACGGCGGTGGTGGCGGTGGTGGCAGTACGCAGACGGGGAAGACGACCCGCTACTGGGACTGCTGCAAACCCAGCTGCTCATGGAAGGATAAAGCCGTCGTGAGCAACCCCGTGAAAACCTGCCGCAAGGACGGTATCGCTGCGTTAACTGATGTCAACGCCAAGAGTGGTTGTGACGGCGGTGACGCGTACGTCTGTAACGACAACATCCCGTGGGCGGTCAACGATAAGCTTGCCTACGGATTCGCGGCCGCCCATATCAAGGGTTCGGATGAGCGCGGATGGTGTTGTGCGTGCTACAAGCTGGATTTCACCAGCGGCCCGGTATCCGGGAAGTCCATGATCGTGCAGGTGGTCAACAGCGGCGGCGATCTGGGGGAGAATCACTTTGATCTGCAGATCCCGGGCGGCGGTTTCGGGATCTTTGATGGGTGTACGCGGCAGTGGGGGCTAGCGGCGAGTGCGTGGGGAGAGCGGTACGGTGGGGTGCGGACGCGGGACCAGTGCAATGCGCTGCCGCAGCCGATCCGGGCCGGATGTTATTGGCGGTTTGATTGGTTTAAAGGAGCAGATAATCCCAGCATGAACTTTGCACCGGTACAATGTCCGGCGGAATTGCAGCGCAAGAGCAACTGTGCTCGCAAATAGTAGAACCGTGAAAAAATTTGCAACAAAGAATTTCTATCGCATTGACGTACCGTACTATCGAGTTTTGTTATGACTGTTAAGCATTTTATTCGCATTAAATGGCTATACGAACGCAGAAATTACAACGATGGGCAGAACAAATACAATATTAATATTATTATGTATCAACCGAATCTCGTGACGGGGATGTGGCTGCTGCTATCAAACTGAATATTTGACATCATTGTGCTATCATATGGCTCAGTCCTTATGCTTTCAAGTTAGAATTTTACCGTGAATCAGATCGAAGCTCATTTTCCGCAAGAGCTGCAATACCAAGCTAGAATGTTGCACGTGATACTTATCATTCTCACAAATATCATTAGGGCACTCGGCTTTATTTAAACATTTACACTATGTATGTATGTGTAGCACATGCATACACAGCCCGTCTAATAAGTTAACGACATATATCAAACAATAAAGGAGCACACCTGGTATTTGAAGCAAAATGTACGCACTAGCAGGCTCGAATAAGAAAATTGACAGCATGATATGGTGGCATGTTGTTATGCGGCATACTGCCGCCCGTGTTGGCTGTTTTACTGGACCATTTGTACTTCAAATCATTGACCCGCGTTGTCCAAATATCGTATACCGTTTGGCCGCTGTGTTTTGTCAGGAAGCTGGTATCAGCTGAATGAGAATGGGCCGGCATCTCGTTGATGGTTAACTTGTGGGTGGCGGCTCCCCCTGTGGCTCCGAGACTGTACACAAAGCTACTGCCCAAGAGAAAACGTCCCCGGTAATCCGGAGTATACGAGGTGGGGAGTATCCTGGACAGGTTCTCGTGCGTGTAACTAAAATAACTCCCATCGCACTTTAGCCAGCATGGTGGAATCTCTCGGTTGACCGGGTAGGCTATAACCGACCCGATGGGCATCATTCCGGCCTGGATATCCGTTGCGGTCGTTTCCATCTCTCCCATTCGGCTTTGGAGCTGTCGGACTTTTCGCTCTAGGCGGTGCATTTCCTCTCTTTGGCGAGCCAACGCACCGGTGCTCGAAGCGGACGGCAGGATATTGATGCGGCTGCTGAGTTCTGATGTGGTCTTCGTCACTTGCACTTGCGTGGACGTTATAACGGAAGATGTTCGCAGTCCTGCAACGCATCCAGAACTGGATACATAGAGTATAGTCTGCGCTTAAGCTAGCACTTGCGCTCGGATTTGCAGTACTAAAACTTGGACTTGGACTACACATAACTAAGACTGAACTGAAGATTCTAAAACTTGGACTATCTAACGAGTAATAAAACTTGAGCTAGGTGAGTGTTGGGTCTACTTGACTTGGACTTACTAACTTTTGCGGCATATTGTATTAGCTTCAAAATTCTTCAGTTTCGAGCTAGTCCACTTTAACCTCTTACACTGGAATTGACCTCTCGATCTTAGTTTCGATCTCTCGATCTCGATTTCTTATGTTTTCTTACGTCTCTCAAATTATTTCTTAGGTTGTTCCTTAAGAAAACCAGCAACTCAAGGACACTTATGAAACATCATGAACTGAAAACCTAAAACAAATCTCAAGATATCTTAGAAAATGTAAGAACGAAAAACCTAAAGTAACTAAGAAACTATTGTGTTCAAGTCCAAGTCAAGAAGTCCAAGTCTGATAAGTGGTCCGAAGTGGTCTAGGCCCAGTTTCTAATTTGAGCGCGGGCCAAATATTACGGATCACCTGACGCTTAAATTTCGAGTAAAATCTCTTGAACAAGGCGGCGGTCGCTTCCGTCTTACCAGATAAGTTGATTCGTCGGAGCTGCATGGCCTTGGGAATGAACTTCTCCCCATCCCATTGAATGACGTGTTTGGCTTCGGTCATCAGTTCGACGAGTTTGGCCTTTTCTTCGTTGCTGACGGACTGCGACGCCGTGTTGACGCCACCGGAGCCAGAGGAGTCGCTCCCAAATATTCCCAGAACGTCCACTTTCGACATGAATGAACCCGAGACATTGGTGCTGTCCTGGTTAGCTATGTACTTTTTGATATCGTCCTTTAAAGTGCTATCACTCTTATTGTACGCATCGTTTAAGGACTGGGTGATGCGGTCCGGTCGGCCGTTCTCGTCGTGCCAGAACACCGAGCTCCACATCTGCTCAAGGATTCGGTCGATATGCTCTTGGCCTTGAGAATGTTCTCCAGTAAGGTGCCGATGGTGATAGACTGGTCTTGGCTGACAAATTCATCGTCGGTCACTTCGCTGGCCACCACATTGCTGGCGATTTCCAGGGTCAGCTGCTTGAGGTCGTCACTCTTCATGAAAACGGTGTCCTTGTTGGGGAAGCGTTGGTTCAGGGCTGTCGCAAGAGCTCCGTTCTGCACGTGCTCCGCTTTGACCTACAAGCAGCCAGTTACCTCTCCATTTAACTTTTTATTATAATTATAAACAACTACAGTAAAGCGGATGTTGTCTAAGCGGTTCAGCATGTTGTGTCTAACCATGGCCCGTTTCCATAACTGGTTTGCCCTCATTCAGGGCCGTCGCGAGTTCCGAGGGTAGGGGGGAACGCGCGGTCGCGCGCCCGGCGCGCCAGTTCGAAAATGGCTCAAAAATTGAAAAAAATCGTAGAAAAGTGGCTCAAAAAAGGCACTTTTCTACGCTTTTCTATTGTAATTTTCGAGCGCCAGTCCCATTTTTTCGCGCCAGCGCCAGTTGCGCCCAGCACGTCCCCCCTCGCGACGGCCCTGCCCTCATTTAACTTAACGGAAGTGGTCAAGCTTTTCTAAACTTGACTTTATTTGGCTTCGGTTCTGCTTTGTTCGTTCGGTCCACAAGAATCTGTTGGTTCTCGATTCTGAAAACTGTTACCATAGATGATTTCGTGACCTTTTGTAACTTGTACAGTCAACTGCATTCTTTGAGTGTTGAATAAGAAATTCGATTTGATAAGTCGCTTTATTATGGTTTGTACATTAAATGCACTGCGCGTTTGATTTTTCAAATGCTTTGGAAAAGCTTTTGATGCATCTAGGGAGCTTGTTATTTCGAACCCTGGATAATTTTAGTCAAACCAATAACACAAAAGGGCTGATCTTGGGAAAAAGATTAACCGTCGCTGTCGCAGTATTAAGTTCTCCTGTAAGCGCACCTGTACTACACCTGCGCAGCCGCAGCGCAGGTCAACGATGACCTTTACCTATGTGTTCCTATAACGATTAGGCAACGCACCCGTAAGACAGTGACCTTCATTCAATATAACACTATGCCCACAATAAACAATGCTAATGCTAGATAGCCAGGTGTAGATTGGGAGTCGACTGAGAGTCTGCTGGTGGACTGCTGTCATACTACTGACTGGTACGGAGTGGAGGGGTGCTTTATATATGGTCCTGGTCCGGATGGGTTCGGCTACCATATGTGGGGCGGGTGTGGCGACAAGCCAGTGACAGAGTGCATAACGGCAAAATGATGTGATATGCGGTCACCATGATGTCATATGACCGCGCAAAAATGTGCAGGGCATACCTGCACGTAGGTTACCGGTGACTAATGGTCGTGCGGTGCGACAAGAGAAGATGTCGTCACACTAACATTGGTCGTGCGGTGCGACTAGAGAAGATGTCGTCACATCGCTCCGGAGCGCTTATCTGCGGGAAGCGTTCATATATTTCGAACGACCAAGCGAGGTGGTATTTAAAATCGCCCTGGGCGTCAATTGCGGCAAGGGACGCAAATATTAAAAGCACCTTTTGATCGGAAACCAAAGTTAGGCGGAGACTGTAGGCTACATACCTGTATCAGTCGGCGACTGCTTTTCTGCGTTCGAAGGCTGTAATACACCACCATTTCCGATACGAAATTCTGTGGATTATTCTGCATATTTTGCGCTGCTTCTACGCAAATTTCGCTTCTCAGGCAGTTTATGCGGAAAGAGTACGTCGAGGGCTGACTGGCGTACGATGTCCATTTGTTGGAGATTTCATACTTGTCGGCGTGTCCGACGGCATCAATACGAATTTCTTCGATGGGCAGCGTGCGGACGCTGCTTTTGGCAACTTTCCGCCCGTTCTTCTTACTAATTTCGTCGCAGACGAAATCTTCAAATTCCTCGTCCCACATCAGTACGGAAAAGGTCATTTCGAAGCGCTCGGTGAAGCGGTTGAAGGAGCCGACCGCGGAACTGGGATCGATGATCAGAGCGGGGGAATAGAAGTACTGCAGCGACGCTGGGTCCGTGGCTTGGTTTTTGTAGACCGAGATGCGGAAGTTGTTCTTGTACGTAATGGACATGTAAGCGTTGGGCGAGATTTCCAGGATGCCCCATCCACTGGCTATACACAGCAGTATACGAAACGTAAAGTATACTTGCTTATTATGTAAAATTATGCATCGATACTAGAGTATTTGTAGTGCAACTGGTTTTCGCAAAAGGTTTCGCTTGGCCCAGTGTAAAAGTAAATAGCAGTGGAAGCCATAAGGATGTTACACTTAAATAACAACATCCAGGCAGTAAAGGTTTGCTTTATAAGTTTTCTTCTGAAGCGCAAACTTTTCGTTCCCTTTTCAGTTTTCAACCATCAGATGCACCAGTTACAACTTACAACCTCCCTAACTGACAAACGGAAATACCAATACCGTGCAAATCAATTTGCATAAAATTTTAAGAATTATTGAAATACAAATAATGATACTGAAATAATAATAATAAGTAGTAGTAATAATACTAATAAATAATACTAATAAATAAATCTAGATAATCCTAATACCATTGATAAACATTTTGTGTGTATTTTAAGCAACGAGGTTAAGTAATCATTTATGTTTACCGGCTTCCGCTGTAGAAAAAGAACAGCATGTTCAGCAATAATAATTTTTGATGCGTGCGTGCTGGGACTTATGCGTTCACGAATACACGAACAGCAAAATTATGCCATTTTATTAGTACCTGCAAAGCAAGTAAAAACTAAAAAAAATACCTTTAATTCGGAGTTAACTTTTTTTAAAATTACGTATGGCGTTATCGATTTAGATTAGTATAATTATGTTAACTGGCTAAATAAAGCTACGTATGGGCGGTAGCCGTTATCCATTTAGATTAGTATATGTTAACTGGCTAAATAAAAAGATTAATTAGGCCAAAACAGCGAAGAAAGATGATCAAAAATTAGTAGACTCACGTAAAAGTAAGTAAGATTATTAGGTGACAGTAAATTACACACCACCGGCTCGGACCACGAACTCAGAAGCCACTACTACCACCAACAGAAAACAAAAGACCTACTCTTTGTCGCGGTGCGGCTGGAGTTATCCGCCCCTTGTCCGCTGCATCCCGTTGTCAGCAAAATTGCTCCCAGTAGCAAATTTCCCATGGAAAATGCCATAATCATGACGACGATGCGAAGTGAACCGCAGTGGACAAACCCGGCTCGCTGTAATGTAGCGCGTGCACTACCTCACCGTTACCGATTGCCGGCTGGGGAATCGTGTTGTCGATTGCGCAATGGTTTCCGCCAAAGGTCAGTGTCACGTGCGTGGTTTAGCCACGCTGCTGTTGCCGGCAAAGAGGCAGAGAATATCAGTATTTTATCGAGACCAAATTTTCCTTTCATTACAGTTTACTGCACCAACGGTTAAAAAAGTAATATCTTGCCAAATGATTGATAACAATCATTAATTTTAGCGTTCTCTGTGCGCAGTATAAAACTACAAGCTGTAGTTATCAATACAAGTTACACACTTTTGAGTGATTGTGCTTGTAGTGTCGGATACCAGATACCTATACGGCTTTTGACAATATATTCCCCTCCAATCCTACAGATGGATAGGTGTACTTGATCGACTTTTGAATGGTTGGCCCGGTTAAAACCAAAAGATGTTAGTGGATAAATTTTACTAGCTAACACAACTAGTATGCAAATTTTTATGGATTAAGGTTCATTAACCTAATTGGTTTTAACCACTAAACCTCACGGTCAACCAAAATTCAGCGTACCGCTAAAAATGCACAGAAAATGCCTTATTTGTGTGTGTATGCAACTAAGCATGGAATGTTGACCGTTAAAGGTCAAACGCGAAGAACGTGCTGCATAGTCGTTAACTCGTTACAGGACAGTAGTTAAAGGTGAATGCAAGCTTTTTCTTGAAATCAGCCATTGTTATTGTTCGCTTTTAAAACCGGTGAGCCAGGAAAGCGTCTGTACACTTGCCATACCGCATGACACTTCATAATGCAAAGTGCGCCTTCCTTTTTTCTGTTTGTTTTAATATGTATCGTAGTTCGTTTATTACTTCTGAAGTTTTTAAACAGCTGCCCAAATAACTGCAAGATAAAATTTTACGTGCTTGTGCGCGCGCTGGGTAGGCCCCGAGGTGCGAGTATCAATGCAAGTATCCATGGGAAATCAAAATGTAAGTGCATGTGCAATTGGCAATTTCCGGTGATCGGCTTGGATTATTTAAGCGATTTTTGCATGACATTTCGGTATAATGGCAGCTTTTGTAAATCACAGTATTGCTTTCCGTTTGTTTATGCACACTTGTTGTTTATTAGATTTTTTTATTTTGTGATAGGGCTGAAGCTGGAGCATTACAAAAGAAGCGACGACAAGTACTCATTACATTTGCCAGTAAGTGGAACCAGCAGTGTCCTGCTCGCCGTTCATATTTCTCTTATGAACATGAACAAAAATAATTGTTATGCGTAGATGTATTGTGCATTTACAGTAATTATACGAGTAAATAATCCAAAGCGGTGGGCGAGAATAGAGTAACAGAATGAAAGTGCCAATGACCCATACCGTAAGGGCGCCATCACGTTATCCGTGCGTGCGAATCTGCGCTGCCCCAGGCGGAAGTATATCCAGCATGCCTAGCATATCCGCCATGTTCAGTCGCCATGGTATCTGCTCTTCGCAACACGTGATACGTCCCTTACCTGTCGGATTCATGGGCGGCTTTATCGGACCCAGCCGATCCACAGGCAGTATGTAGATTTCAGGAAGAGCACATTCAGGCACTATACCTCACTGCCGCGGTGGTGCTTCCTGCGTTTACAACCTGAGTCGATTTGCGATCGATCGATTGATTAACGCACGTGTCGGTTTCCTCCACGGATACGAATCACACAACAAGCCCGTGTCGATAGATTTGTGCTTGTACGCGAAGAGGAAAAACCGAACCTGCAAGCAAATCTGCATGTGAAAATCCATCGCCGATAGTAAAAACCTCACTTCTGGTGTATTTGCAGTCCAGATGCTTTAGCGTTTGTTAAGCGCAGCCGCCAATCTTTTTTGTTAACAACTTTGTTCCCATAAGCTATTCAGATCAGATTGGGACCGCGTACAGATTTTGTGCAGCTAACGAAGCGCCAGATTAATTGCCGTGCACCGGTAAATAAAAATTGTGCAAAGCAATTCTCTCCTCTGCACGCACTGGATGGTAGGCCAAAAGGCCAAGGAATCCGAAGCGTCAGCCACCAGAAACGCCGGTGCCGGCTTGACTTACATGGATTTCATTCCAAGGTGTCTTCGTTCGGATTCCTTGCTGCACTGGCCGGAGTTCGAGCCATTTTCCACGCTGATCGCCCCGGCCAATTACTACCTTCGCCAGCAGCCGCACATGAAGATCGTCACGTGTGAGACCATCCAGCTGCACGTGGAGGGAGACCACGTCCACCATCCCGACCACAGCGAGTTCTGCCAGGTCGGCGAGACCGCTAAGCCGTTCGTCAAAGCGCTCAGGATCTGGCTGCTGCACCGCGCAGCTCACGAGTCAGAACAGGTAAGGTATAAGTGTACGCAGTTCACGTGGACATGCAGATCGAGAATGCCGAAACCGTGGAGAGATACGGCATCCGCATATTCATAAGATCTAAAATAACTGTCCAACAAATGTGGAATCGAAATTTGTTTAAGAGAAGTGACCCGGTACATGGTATCAAATTCGTATACATGAACGCAAGCTATCCCTTCTGGGCACTCCCAAACACTTTTTTGTTTAATTTTATAAAAAAGTTTGAACATTCTGTAGCGAGCCTAAGCGAGGTGATTTGTGTACAGTACGTAGGCGCAAAAATCATTTGTGCGCGCAACATACTTCGTGAGTTACGGCTGTGAGAAAATTCCAAAAAGTTTAAATGCGTTCAGATCGATGTGCCAAAAGTCCCATTTTGGACCGATCTCCAGAAAATTTTGCACTTTAAAATTATAATTAAAAATGTTAATGAACTTGTGGGTCATGCGGAAGGTCTTGTGCACAGGTGCAGCAAATCGGTTATGTCAGCTTCCTGCCCTCCGTCGCTCCCAGCTGCAGTCAAACGCTTTCCAACCTGACCCAACAGACCAACGACTGGCTACGCCGCAACCCTCTTGCGGGCCGTATCCTCAGCGTAGAAACGCTGCTGATACGCGGTGTAGAAGGTGAGATAGACGCGGACGCCAGCGCGTGGAAGCAAAAGACCTGCATGGCCGCCCTTCAAGGCCTCCATAAACAGACCTTCATCCAACTGTACCGCATCTTCTACGAAACCATGCCCCACCCCGTCCACGAGGACATCGGCTTCGTGGACTTTGTCCCGCGCATGCTGGAGCCCGGTGGCCTCGTGTCATATCCCCGTGGGGAACAGTTTCCGGCCGTACTGCATGCCCTTAACCAGTGGGCCAGCACGATGCCGGGCAATGTCCGGCTGCTGAACATCCAGACCCTCCTGACGCGCGCCAATAAACAGGTGACAGAGATACCAGTACGATAGAAATAATTACCGTGATAATCTCGATGTGGCATAGATAAGGCTTCGCATTTACGCGAAGCTAGAATCTGCACCTCAGAGGACAAATTACCATTCTGTTTCCTCCGACGACATTCGGTTTTTCATTCTGATTTTAGCAGTCTCGGAGTTTAAAATTAAGATTTTGATTTTCTATTCCAAAACTGCAAAAATCAGAATGAGAACAGAGCGTGAAAGCACTGCCACAGTGCCACTAACGGACATATATAGGCGTGAAGCGGACTTATACAGGCGTGAAGCGCATTTGTGTAGAAACCATAACATAACCCAAAACAGGTAACAGAGAACGTTCTAGAAAGTACAAGCGAATAATAATAAGACTTAGTACGAGTAAAGATATGAAGTACGTAGAATATCGCTAAGGTACTGCTATATTCCCTCACAGGGGCAACCCCTAAACCTGTACAATGCCTGCTACACGGATGTGGAGTGTCATGAATTCTACTGGCGGTTTCTACGGCTGGCCTTCGTCGCACCCCGGGAGGAGTCCGCATCGCCGCCGGTGTACGCGTTTCCCACCATTCACAGCCGGTTGTTCGTGGCGGGATTGACCCGGGATCCCGGGTGGTACCACAACGCCGAGTTGGAGCGGTTGAGTGTGGTGAAGGAGCGGCTGGACAGGTGGGTGCGAGAGAGCGGATGCCGGGTGATGTGTGTGGAGACCGTGACCTATAAGACCTTCGAAACGAAAAGCTGGCGGGGTTTGATTCCATGCACACGTGGAACGAGCACCACAATAACCAGAGAAATGAGCTACCGCGGACTGAGCAGTATGTCTTAGGTTTCCGGGTCTACTTCCAGGGAGTTGTTAAGGAAGTACCGGGAGTGGAACCCGCTCGCAGTATGGCTGACTTTCGACGGGAGAATGCCGACAAATGCATCGTTGCTTGAATACTATCGTATAATGAACTCTATTTGACTAACGTTCTTGCTGTTGCGTGTTACGCATGCAGTTATCAACCCGTCCCAAATGGAATATCTACGATGTCTAGTATTTTTTAAATCAATATGTGTATTTATTTCTTTTATTATGTGTATTTATTTCTTTTAGGCTGATACCAACTGGTGTGTGCAGATTGCAGATTACTGTAGATTGTAAAGAAGGAGAAGTGCTTCTTTCTCATTTTCGTGTTTTTGTTTTATTATGTGCGTAAAATCGGTATATTGACACGGGTAGTTACCTTGGTGAGCGGATGGTAACATCAGAACTTCAAACTTACCGGCATCAAAACTTCAAAGTTCATACTTAGCGGCAGAATGACAAAAAATACCTGTTGTGCCAAGTCGAAATCGCACTTGTTCGTATAGTGAGTTATATCCTAATCGGATACGACTCACTTTACGAAAAGTGCAGTTTCGACTTGGCACCACTTTCGACTTTCGAGTACCGTATATCCAAGTGATGGATATACGGTACTCGTCGGTCTCGTCCTCGCACTTCAGTGAATTAGTGCAAAGCTAGAGAAGCGCTTGCCCCAAAGAGGTCAAATTGCACACGCTCCGCAGCCACCGCAGACTGAAATGTAGACAAAAAAATCACGAGAACAAAGCGTATACCGGGAAATTATCCGGCTGTGCGGCAATGCTTTCGCTGTTGTATCCTCTTGCTCGATAGTCGATACAGTCATTAGTTTCTCTGGCTCATTATTAGGACAGCGACCTCGTCAAGTTTATTGAATGAGATATAAAATTAGCCATTAGTTGGCATCAGCAATTTTGTATTTTTAAGAAAATTTGTGTATAAGGAATTTCAGTATAAAACACCATTTGAATCTTTCACACATCCACCGATACTGCATTCTGGGCTTTTGGTCTTCTATCTGTACAGTATAATGGAGTACCCAATTCCTGCAGCCACGTCCTACAGGGATTCTAAGGGCTTGCTGGTGACCTTTCAGTATTGCATCATTGCGGAGAAAATTGCCAGCGAAACACTCGCGGTCTGCCGTTGGTACTCTGAAAATGCAAAAATGTACACGGCAAAATTTACTGTGGAGAAGCAAGGAGATTATCCGGAAATCCCGGCATCCAAGTGGGCACTGATACTGATGGTTAGCCAGGAGCAGGGCATTCACACGGCTTGGCTGGAGCGCCAAAATGCTTACGATGAACCCTACGGCCCTCTGGTGGAGGTCACAATCAGGTAACAGCCTCAAAATTTTGCCCCAAAATTGTGAGACTGCCGGCAGGATGGTCTCAGGTTGTTGTTGTTTGAAGTTATAAAGGAGATCTTATATCTTGTCAAGCAGCAACATCTATTCGAGTTCTGGGTACGCTTTTTGCGTAGAATAATTTTATTGTGCTGTTAAGCTTATGCTGTAGCAGTTGTAAAGTTACTAATGATAACAATGTAGGTAGAGTTTTGGGTGTCCACATTCTGTCAAACACAAGATATTTTTGCGTGGCTTTTGGTATGAACTCTTGTTTTAAAATTTAAGGCCACGCGAATTTTACGTTAGAAATTTATTTACCTATATAATTCGTTCTTTGTGTTGGCACAGTCCGTCTGCCTCGTCGGAGCCGGCTGTCTGGATTTCCTGGGAAATACATCCAAATCGTGTCGTTATCAACAAGAATTATTACTGCTCTGCATTGGCTCCTGACAGCAAACCCGCCCAGACCTTGCTGCCGGGCTACCTGTACGTCAAACTGTCCTACCGCCTCTCCCGTCCGGCCATAGAACGTCGTCTATTGCCGCGTCCCGACAGTTTCTCCGACTGCACTTTGGTCTCCAACGACGGACGCCGATTTCCGGTGCAGCGTGTCATGATGGCGCATCAGTCGCCCGTCTTCTTGGCCATGTTCCAGGGCTCTCGCGCTCCGCTGAACGGGGAGGTGTACTTCGTGGATGTGAGCGGCGACATCCTGGAGGCGATGGTGACGTATGTGTACACTCGGGAGATTGCGGAGGGGAAGCAGCGCAAGGAACTGCAGGAGCTGTGGCGCGTGGCCGGCAAGTATAACCTCGTGGACATGAAGCAGGCCTGTGTGGACCGTTTGTTTGACGGTTTAAAAGATCGCGACTTGTGGGGATCATATAAATTCGGTCGGGATAATGGACTGCATGAACTGAAGGAAAAAGCGGAGATTGTTTACTTCGAAAGCAAAGTTAAACCAGTTCCGCCGAAGAAGCGGTGTTTTATTCCTCTGGATATCGCGGTAAATATTGTGTTGGTCGACCCTGAAACCCTAGAAGTATTCAAGGTGGATTAAGTAGCTGGGAATTGATCATCAAACCTTTTTGCTCGCCGCTTGTTACTCTGACAGCTTTGTTGAATAGTTGACAGCAGTAGTGGTATGTGTTTGGCACTTGGGTTTAAAATGAAGTTGCTAGATGTTACGTGGAAATCACAGATACTGTGGCTGAAAATCATTAATTATTTTTACTTCTTAACTGTGTGTTGCGTATACTTTAACAACTGACAAAACCAGTTTTACAGATGCTGTACGTTATTGATTATTCGTGGAGAATACAGCGAAATGTCGTTTTTAGATGGCTCGAATTCTAGGTTTTCATTCTGATTTACGGAGTACTTACTGATTAAATTTTTCCTTAACTAGCTGCGCGGTTGATAGATGAAGTGTGGGATTGGGTCAGCTCACGGTTTTAAAGTGTGTGGTCAAATCACGAAATGTGTTAATTACAACAAGGAGCGGATACATGTCAACGGATGATAATGAGGAATTTAATGTCTTCGTGCTTTTTCTTTGGTTTGGTCCATGTTCAATTATTCTGCTAATCTGGCGGCGCTAAACAATACGCACCACTTGCTGTGCTACGGAAAATTGATCAAACTGGATTTTGTTAGAACTGTTGAACAAACTGAATTTTCCAAAGTGATATGGTTATTTCCATTGCATGTTACCAGGTACGACGTAGCATTGTCGCACGATCAGCGGGTTTTGTTATCAATAAGCGAGACACTAGTGGCGCCGTTCACGAAGACAAAGACAATCCGTCATGCAGCTACCAGCTACTGTTTTCTAACACGACTTACACAGTACCCAAGGATATGATATGATAACGGTTCGATTGTTCACCGTACTTAATGTTTCGATAAACGCTGCCGTGGTTGTTCACAACCTATTGTGCGTGTTCTCGGCACAACACAATAAGATCACGCAGTCAGGGTGACCGTTTTCGTATTTAAACGTGCCCGACGTTCGGCTATCCACTTCAGTCTTTGAGTGAAGACGTTTTATAATTAGCCAGCCGTCTTGTTAAGCACTTCATACCTACTTATAATGTTTCTCCTAGTCGTCTTCCTGTTAGCAGCAGGAACCACAGCTTCCGCTGTGCCAAGTGGGTCATTGTTCCAGCATCCGGCTGCCAGAAAACCAGTTGCCACGTTCCACGATCTGGAAGCAGCAGTGCCTGTCCAACACGGAACAGCCAGTCTTGCAGGATCACGAGACGGAAAATCATTTGTCTGTGCGAGATTGTGGAGTGAACCCAACTACACCGGGGGCTGGTATGAGTTCCTGAAAGGCGCCAATATAAATTTTGGTGCTGGTGGCAGTGATGTGATGTCCTCAGCATGGGTGCAATATGGATGCTCGCTGCAACTGTTCTCCTTGAACAGTTTCCAGGGTACTAGCTGGACCTTTACATCGTCTGCACCAGACCGTGGCTACTTTACATTTCCCGGTAATGCATGGGATAACAACAGTCGTTCTGGAAAGTGCACTTGCGCGTACTGAAATACCGTGCTTGCATTTAGTGGAATGTAGCTGCTCATCCTGTGAAATATTTTAATTTTCTTTAAATATTTCTCTTGACTGGATGTTTTTCTGGTTCAGTTCGCCACTGTGCACTTCTTATTTGCTGGGGCAGAGTACGCTTTTGCTCAGGGCAAATCAAATCTAATAATTAAATTTAATTTTTAAAAAAATTAATTCGGTGTGAAAGCACTTTTTTTGTCTTGGCGCATTTTTCGGCAGAGTTTGCAAAGTGAAGTAGTTTTGGTGGCTCACCGGCATTTCGTCGACTAATACTTCGTCATAGAGGCGGCAAACCGTACGGTGCGGTCAAACCGTACATAACCGCATAGGAAACGGCTACGGTAAATCGGTGAGATCATTCTTTATTGTCTTAGTTGTTAGCAACTAATTTAAATATCACACACGAAAAACATTATAACACAAAGTAAATAGCATTTAAACCATCAGAACGTGGAACAGTGGACGTCACAGACAGCGCACTCCCGCGCTGTATTTAAATGCTAAGACGTTGCATCGTAAGAACCAAAAAACCGAATAAATCTAAGAAAACTGAGACAGTTTAGCATAACGGTTGGTCGACTTTGTGACGGGTCGTCATCAAGGGCGTTCGATAAGGTTTTGGTCGACAAAATGGCGGGTCACCACTTTAGGTGTACTAAGTTGTAGTAGGTAATTCGCCAATTGGTAAATCACTTTCCCAACAAAATATCACTTTCGATCAAAGCAGAATCATTTGCCGACAAAGCCAAAGCTTGCGATTAATACAGAGCAAGCTTGCTACCATCGGAGTTTTCCTAACGAAGCTTTTTAGTGGCAGCTTTCACCTTGCGCGTTGGCGACTCTGTTCTCATGGTAATAGACTACGGGGTACCGGAAAGTTCCAGACATTTTTCGCGTACATTACTTGTATCTTCGCATGCATGCGTGAGGGTACTCAGCGTAGCCGGTATTCTTCCCTCAAGCTGCACTTGTCGTCGTCGGGAAATCGTGGCATAACCAGCAAAAGAGTCTGTCAGCGACTTGTTCTGGATTTCATATCTGTTCACTGAGCTCATAATTTTTTGAGAAGTACAGCATAACAGACACAAGGTTTCAGGAGTCTACAGGTAACTAGAGTAGAAATACGGTAAAATCGTGTTATCGCTTATCGAGCTGTTTACTGTGTACATAAATCTATTTAGTACGTTTAGCAAACGGCAACGCCTTGCGTTATCATGATCTAAATAAAAAATCCTTTACATGATCTAAATAACTATGTTTATTTGGAAAACAGTCAGTTAACATAACAGCATGTCAGCGCTGCGAAGCTCGACAGAATTGCGTCCATAATTGCGAAGACAGAAGCGCTCCATATTTTGCGCCCATTTTTGCTATCAGGCGGGTAACTTCCGGACCCAATGGTTCAGAATTTCGAACCCAGAGGGCACTAAAAGGAGTTTCGGGTGATGATCCCGAACCCCCAGTTCCGTTATACAGCAACTATTAGTCGTATCCTATTTAATTTACGCTAGCTCACTAACGGTTCATGAAACCTGTTGAATACAACGATGTCGGCGCCGGTTTATATAAATGGTGTCGTTTTTGTACTGTAATGTCGAGATTAATTGGTCAAATCAAAGCCACAATACACCAATTTGAAGAAGAAAAAAATTCGTTAATTAAATGATAATTTTGATGATAACGTTGCTATATTATTATGTTTCTCATGCAGTCACGCTGAAGTACTGAGGTTTCTTTTCACCGTGATATGCTAAGAGTGATTGCTCTATTATGAGCTCTGTGTTATATATACAAAGCTAACTGAGCCGTTTTTTCGGCCAACATCTCCTCCTACACCGTTCGACACTAATTTTTACACGATAGCTCAAAAAATGCCTAAAACCATGTAGTTTGCGGCAACGACTTTCGTTTTTCGATCTTTTCATCCTCCGATTTACGAAACGGCTCCAAAGCGAATTTCGCTGATAGGTCGATCATTAGAAAGTAACAGAGGATTGGCGGAAATGCGTAACTTTCGAACCTAAACCGCTGACTCATGGCATATGTACGGAACACATGTATACTATAATTATGCATATTGTTAAGCCAGAGGGCATACATTTAGCAAATACACACTGACACACACATACGTGCTCGGTTTGTCCACTCGGTTGGTTCATTCTACGGGAATGCAAGTTTTGAATGCAGCAGATGAAAATAATTATTATTTTGAAACAGTTACTCTTACACCGTTCAATACTTATTTTTACACGATAGCTCGAAAAGCGCCTAAAAGCATGTAGTTTGCGTCAACGACTTTTGTTTTTCGATCATTTCGTCCTCCGACTGACAAAACGCATACGAAACGAATGTCGCTGATTGGCTTATCGAATAAAAAAGGATTGGCGGAAATGCGAAACGTTTCGAACGAAAACCGCTGACTAACAGCATGCGGTACAACGACATTTAGGAGCCAAAGAGCACTATACCGTTAGTTAATACTGTTAATATTGTGGATATAGTGGAAATACAGAAATGCAAAAAGGCGTAACGTAAAACAGACTGATTGATGTGACACTAGCGTAAGGGGTAGCCCGGTTATGTACACGTAGTCATGTACATATTTGTAAAAATATGTATTATTTATATACAGAGCTAACTTGGCCGTTTTTCTTCATTTTTCTCCTATCCTTTCGGCGCTGATTTTCCTACGATAGCTTAAAAAGCGCTTAAATCGTGTTATTTGTCCTTTTGACTTTAGTTTTTTTATCTTCTCGTCATTCGAATCAGAAAGCATGACCAAGACGAATTTCGCTGACTGGCTTAACATAAGGTAACTAATAGCTGATTAGCGGAAATGTATAACTGATGAGAGATAAGGGAAGGGATTTTCGCCGATCAGATAAAAATACAGGGATTTTCGCCGGTCAGGTAGAAGTATAGGGATTTCCGCCGGTCAGACAGAAGTACAGGGATTTTCGCCGGTCAGATAGAAATGCAGGGATTATCGCCGGTCAGATAGAAATGCAGGGATTATCGCCGCTTAGATAGAAGTACAGGGATTTTTGCCGGTCAGATAGTAAGCATGGGATTTTTGGCGGTTAGACGGAGGTGTAAAGGATTTCACCGGTCATATAAAAAAGGGAATTTTTTGGTCAGACAGAGGAGGAGGGATTCAGTCGATATGTTAATAATAATTTTTTTTGCCGATATGCTATTTGGCTCGACCTTCTTTGTGGACGACGATTTTAACGATGGCACTTTCATTAGTACATGTATATGTTTAATATTTATGGTTGCCTCTTTATATTAATTTTATAGCTCTGTTTACTATATTTATAATAAGATATCAACGTAATTCAATTATTGATTTACACAACATACTCCCTATTGCGTAACACTAGGTTACTAATGCTAAGCGCAATTTTGCTTTACGCCTTGCGACGTGATTGTACCATAACGGGAAAACACAGTGAAGCAAAAAGAAATTTACACTTTTATGTTTCAACCGTGTACCGAAATAACTAACTAACTTAGCTGAATTCTGTAGCATTGAGTACTTAATGACGACAATGAAAATTCAAAACAAACCGCATTTCCAATCCAGTTAAATTCCTTTTCCTAAATATTTTTAAAACTACCTCATTACTTTCTTCAATTCTAAAAATTCTCAACCGAGGCCGGAGGCCGAGGTTGAGCTTGTAGTATCTAATTAAAGCACAGCTAGTTTACTTTTGTGCGAAGCATGTGGTAGTAATATACCCAAGGGGGATATTTATAGAGCCGGTGAGTACGTGACGGCAGTGATAATTATGTCGGTACAAATATTATTGCTCATGTACTTGCTAAAACTTATAGTACAACATTCAATCAGCAGCCTTTTGAGTGCCTAATCTTGTTGTGGTTTCATGTAAGTAACATTTTATCGACGGAAATCAGTAACGCCTGTGAAGGATTGGTACGGAATACATCGCTGTACATCGGAAGAACGTGAGAGTCTCAGAGGATCAATCTGCGAACTGCGATGCATAAAATATGCATTAAATCCTGGGGACAATCACAATCGACACCTGGACTCAATCGCACAAACATTTCTGACACCGTCTCGGAAATCGGAAATTTTTCCAGCAACCCAGTTTTGTTTACCCATCCGCCAATCTTACAACGTCGTGGAAACGTCGGTGAGGTCCGAGTTCGAGGACTGAATTTAGACTTGAACCATGGCTTCTTACCCGGTCTTGAAGAGCCACAGGATGCTCGGAAGAACAGACATTTGAATATTTTGTTGAACTGGCTGCGTGAGCATCCTGATGATTTCCATAACGCTGCGTAAGTAATATGTTATACTGACCTGCACGCAGTCTGGCGGGTTTTTATTTAAGTAAGCAAAATGGCATGGTAAATATTTGGCATATCGCATGCATCTACCCTTAGGTGTGTGCACTGTGCAGATTGCAACTGTTGCATTTGCGTGCTTTTGCATAGTTTTTACTTTTTCCCAATCAAAATGTTCTTGAGTTCTGAACCGAAAGATTTGTATACGGGTCTGAAATGCATTATCCGCGCCACGTGGGAGGCATGCAGTGATGCATGACTGCAACGTACTGTAGGCGATAAAAAACATAAGAAAAAAAACATAGAAAGCTGGTGTGACTGTATGAGTGATATATGGACGATTTCGTACCACTCCAAAAATTTGATGCATCATTTTTCGATACGCGTTCCCATTATTCTCGCTTATTCAACCGTTATTTGTTCGTCCTTGTATTCCGCCGGTAATCTGACGAAGAAAACATGGAAGAACACGGAAGAATATTGTACAAGCAGAACACGCAAGAATAGCAGTGGAATACGGGGTATACAGGGTCCATTGCAGAGAGACAATTATAACTAATGATTACGGCGCGGATAAAACGGAATACAGGGAGAACACGAACGAATGCCGGTGAAATACGTGGAAATATTAGGAAAACGTAGCGGAAAATGATGGGTTGAATTTTGGAAGGGTACGAAACGAGCCATAGGTGGATATAGGCAATATGAGTGCGCAACAGCAGACGTTGTATCCAACAAACCTGAATGTACGTAAACGCTTACCGGGTCAATTCTCTCAAGACTTTAATCAGAGCGTTTAGGTTAGTTTACGGGTACAGTACAGGTAAACTTTTCGTATATCGTTTTCAATTGCAGGCCGGAAATAATTTGTTGGAGCTCCACCCTGAAGGAGGTTATGCTCACAGCGGTACATGTGAAAGCCCCAAAAGGTCAGATGAATAGCCAAGATCTGCTCTATGTACTGCAGACCCGAGTGCTGAAAAAATCGAGTGATGATAGGTGAGACGCCGTTCTGTAATCCTGTGTTAATTCAGTTACGGGATGCAGTTCTTAATCACCTGAAACGAGTGATGGACGTGATGCCGTCCATGTATTAATTACTAATCCAACCCGCGTTTATAAACACAACCCGAAATAAAATCTTCACTAGCATTGAGGGTCGTTTAATTTTTGACACACATCTTGCTTGAACCAAGAATTACTTACGTAATAAATTCTACAGACTATCAAAAGACAGAAGTCTGAGCGCCCTTCTGTTAAGCGGAGCTGCCGAGGCTACGTGACCGTGTTATGTGCCTTCTTCCAAGCTTTGTCGAAGGTCGAAGCTGCTGCTAGGTGCTATCTTATTTTGCTTCTCAGGTCTCAGCTGGATAATTTTAATATGTATGTACTACCCGTACGGTCGTTCGGTTGGCCACCTATAGTAAGTGAATGGGCGATGGTCGTTCAAAGTGACCACCGTGAACTACAATTCCCACGAACCGTTTTTCTTCCGGTTTTCTTCTTTACCGAATTCGGCATAAGGTACTCTATTCATAGTACTTGAAATTTTACAAATATCTTGAACCGTTTTTTTGCAATTGCGTCGTTAAAAAAACAGTGACGAAACACTTAAGCCACGCCACGCCACTCGAGCCACTGCACTACACAATGATTACTGCAGATTACTGCAGCCATGTGCGGCTTATTATTACTGGGAACGTACAGGTTACTAGGCTGACTCGAAAGGCACTTTAAATGCGTTCTGTTAGATACAGAGCCGGAAGTTCTGTAAAAGTGAATTTACCAATCCTGCACCACTGAATCTTACAGAGCGTTACAGAGCATCGAGACTAACTCAAAATGTGTGCCCGTATAGTTAATTCGAATTAATTTTAAATTTATCTTTCACCATGTGTCGGTGATTTCAGATAGTCACACTTTGTTTTGCTTTTCGACACTTCTTTTTTGACACGTAGTTTCCATTTCCTATTTGAAGATTTTTAACAAATCTGCGCATTCTTTCTTCCAACCAAAGCGGGTCTTTGTTTTCGCTCGGGTTTCTCCTGGGTGCCATCACTTTCTGTCGCATTATTGATGATAACCATTACTGCTTTTGCTCTGATAACTGGACGCGTGCTCATTCTACACTAATCTACAGTAATAGCGTATCTCAAAACATATTAACTCAAAACCCAAGGTAAACTAAACTCAATTTAAATCAAAATTCAAAGGTAAACTCAAAACTCAATTTTCTACGTACAGTTGGCACATGAAAAAATTCACAACGAATTCTTTTGACAAATTATTATTTTGACTTGTGGTGAAAAAAGCGAGTTCTTTATCGTAACGGAGCAGGAGAGTTCCTTTTAGATACAGAACATTTTAACTCGGCCGTCCAATCAGCGGTAGGGGGGTGTGATCGAAAAATTACAGAACTTCCCGCTCTGTATCTTACAGAACGCATTTAAAGTGCCTTTCCAGTCTAGCTACTGTAATTTACTTATGCATGATTTTACTTACATTTTCAGCCGCTGGCATTGGGTGGATCATTGCGGTTTGCAAGATCGACAGAGTGCTGTACATGGCACTAGACGGCTACACATATCCGGAACAATACCATGAGCGGCTGCTGTCGGAGGAGGAATTGGCTGCTTTGGAGTTCAAAGAGGAGTTAATGACGTACCGGTACATACATACATTCGTATAATTTTATAATTTTATGACCTTAAGAGTATTGTCTGGTGCATAGCACCAAATAGGTGTAACAAGCATGCACGGGAACTTTCGCTTTCCTTCACTCGGAAACACTCTTTCACTCTTTTGCATTGACCATTTTATATGAAATTCTCTAATCTCTAGCCAAATAATTTGCATACATGGGCAAGCGCGACGTTTGCACGCGCGATGTCCGTTGGGTAGGTATATAGCTGCAGTAAGATTCCAAAAGGCTTAAGCGCAAACAAACGTACCAAAGGCTCTGTACTGATAGAAATACCGGCGTCAATTAAACATCTGAAAAAAGAAGCATCAACATACAAGGGAAACTGACCACCGAATTAAAGAGAAAATTTGATCTAAACTAGCCGAGGCTGGTGTTATTCTCAGGATGGATGCCGCGTTTCCACGTTGAATTTCGATGCTGAGCCTGTGGCGCAGGTACGTACTCCATTGCACGTATCTCACCTGCTTCCTGCTATGTCATCTTGCCCACTTTGCTGGTCAGCCGGGAGGCTCCCGGTCCGAATGATCGCATAGTCTCCACACCCACAGCACGGAACAGGTAGTCCTGGGTGATCGTCAATACTTCGCGGTTTTTTTCCGTTCGGCCTGCGCCGCTGCTTTCAGCTTGGGTGGAGGTTGCTACGATAATTATGTGAAAGGGCCATCCGTACACACCCATGTCACATCCCATGCATTTTAACATTTTGCACCGCTTCCACGGCACTAGAGTGACTCAGTCAGGTCGTTTGCCGTTTGGTTCGTGATATTCCCAAAGGCTTGCATTCTGTCTCAATGGTGGCTGAGGCGAAACCTCGTTTAAGCGTGACGTTTAAACTGTTATGTCTGGACTTCCGGCCCCGATTTTTCTTACAGCTCATATGCGCTTAAGCCGAGCGTCCACCATTAATTGCAAATGCATCAGTGCGGAGTAACGATCGGTGTTTCTAGCGTAAGCCAAAGCAATCCTTAATGCTCTGGTAAAACCGGTCTTCCTTAAATTCTGCTAGAAAACGGGCAAAAATATGAAGACTGTTTTGAGACGAAACCAGGTTCCGACCAGCGTTTGCAAAATTGCAATTGCATTTCAAACGACTAGGGAGTAGGGACTCTTTTTCTTTGGGAGCAACCCAATTGCATGTTGCACACACGAACGGCTTTAATGTAATTCGTATAAAAAAATTTGGCTATTTAGTGCGGCGCAAAATGCAAAACAGCGATTTTTAGTGCACGAAGATAAAAGTTTCCTGGCGTGTACAGGTGTTATTAATTTTGGTTCCATTCCATGTTCCCGGTTTCATGTCACTTCCCTTACGAGTTACGACGTCTTCCCCATTATGACTTTGGGTGCAGTTGTTAGCTCTGCAAACTTTACTTGCTTACTAGGTGCATTAGTAAATTTTGGATTTTTTAATTAGCGGGAGGAAGTTTGAACAGTACATGACACATCCAGTGGAGATGGAGACAACCCTGGACAGTCCACTGGAAAATAGGCGCCACTTCTGCTCATTTCTGGCGCGCCGCATAAACGGCATCAACGTGATATTTGGAGCAGAAATAGACTGTCAGGATCCGAATGCTTCTGGTACGCCTGCGCCCGGAAAATACGTTGAAATAAAGACGACAAAGCTACGGAACTCAAGCAGAAAATGGAAATACAAGTAACTGTCGTGGCCTTGCAATGGTAATATTGTATTACTGTATTACTGATGGCTCGCCTTCTGCCGGTATTTGCAGCCAGTACAAGTTGTCCCGATACTGGGCCCAGGCATGTATTGCTGGAGTGAGCAAGGTTATCATTGGTCTTTGGAATCCAAAAGGGACATGCGTGAAAATAGACGAGTTTGACACTGCGGAGATTCCCGATAAGGCCAAAACCAACCCGGTGAGATGTGCTCAGACTGCGATTATTGGACACATTTTGTATAGATCCATTATACTACGTTTACGTGCATGGATTACCGTACAGACATAATACACGCGCCGCGTGCACTACGACCAACCTGACGGTCCTGACCGCAGTCAGCAGAGGAGAAACTCTGGAGATTGGTTTTGCCTGTGGCCTACTTCCGTAGGAAACAGTCTCGCTACACATGATCTCACTACCACACAACAGGAATTAATAGCAATACGTAACTCCCGCCTAGGTATACAGTACACACTACTGCTTTTCCTAAACGAAGGTCAATCACTGCACAAACACCAACAGGATTAAGTTGATGTTACTCATTTTAATCACACTGACGCTCACTCAAACCAAGTCACACCCAAACTGCCGAAGTCTATCCGAGTAACCGACGACGAAGCGCAACTTCTGATCGGAGGCTACCGATAAGAACACGGACAGCATACGTCATCTCTGGTACAACAGGGAATACACGTACAAACAAACACTAACTCGTACAACATAATCCCAAATATGTCAGCTTACTTTACAAACCAAGCCTCCTGTATGCCGTTTGATTCATGAAATGCTGAGTACATCCAACTAAATGGATCGGGCTGTTAGGAAAACAACAAGCAAAGCAGTCATGGCCAAGCTTGTAGTAAAGTAAAACAATCGCAAAGTACGGCTGTGTTTTTTTTAGCATTTGTTCGTAAACTTTCATAGTCAATCAAGTCTCATTAAAATGTTCTTTATAATCGTTTTGCAGAAAACCATGGCAACGTGGAGTGCAGAGGGATGCATAGACTTCCTGGAGCGGTTTCTGAAACGTGTAAAAGAGATCGTAATAGAGGACCATACACAGTGAGCCCATAACTACCGGTATCTGCGTTGCACCTATAATTTAATTATTGTTATGTTGTGCGTACAATTTCACTGCAGAGGAATTTACAAGTTTCAATGGAGTGCGGATAAGAAGGACGAGATCACAGTAGACTTCCATCCCGGTCCCTACCATGATTTTATCCAGAATGTCCTTCGTTCGCTGCGACGACCACAATGATCCAACAGCAAAGCGGGAACAGGAAGGAAAACATACTTCTGTATCAATAATTGGTAATTTAATAGTTGATTTATATGCCTAATAAATTTTTGCAGACGCTGGTTATAGTACCTACACTAAAACGCATCTTCGAGTTGCAGTGCTCGTTCATGTTATTTGAGAATTAAGATGACTACAAAGTGTGCAGTTTACGGTAGAGGCGTTAAATATACTGTAGGATCCGCTTTCATTTAACCTTTTCAAATATAATTAAGCATACTAAATCATGCGTCAATCGCGAAATATGTTCACCACTAGGAACGCGTCTTATACATTCGATGGATTCGCACTCAACGTTCCCTGAAATTTGCTTACTCTTCAGCCGAGTTCAGACGACTCACAATAGTTTTGTGTTGACTACAAAAATTTAATACAAACTAAGCCGGTATACATTCTCATAATAATATTAGCTGCAAAGGTTGCGAGTCACCAGTACACAAAAATATGAGTATATAAGAATGTAGCATTTCTCAGTACGAATACATGTTTTCCTATAATTTCGGAGCAGGCAGGGTTCTATGAAACACTGTTTTTCGCTAATCACTTCCGACAACTGCCGTGTGATTGTATCGACGGGATCGCATAATCAAGATACTGCCACAGTAAGTGTACCGTACATGTACTTAAATGTGTTTTTTCGTGCCGGCTGCCAGAGGCTAACGCATAACCGGCGTAATACTTTTTGATGCACTCTTAAAGCGGCGTGGCTCCTGACAACAAATTGTACGAATGCATACACTGCATCTGCAAGGCAGCTATGGTTGATGGTGCGGGTTATAGTATAATTATGTTGTTGTAGCGTATGTATTTTAAAGCAGAAAAATCGTCATGAACTTTCATCAACTCCTCGCTTTTGTCCTTATAGCTCTCACGAGTAGCGCCTTCATCAAGCACGGTAAGTTCATGTTTGTAATTGTCAGCTATTAAGATGGATACGCACATCTTCATATGCTACAGCTTTTCAGCAGTCAGTACAGACAAAACCACCCAATCACGGGACGCAAATGCCACACTGGAGACGGAATGCCCTGTCTTCCCCACCAACAGGGCTCCAGCCATGTTTTCCACCTCAGCAATTCCGGCATTTCGCAGTGATCCTCTTCCTCCGTGGAAATGCCCCGATATCCCCGGCTGCTCGATCCACTGCTCCTATATCCACGGCTTCTTTGTGCTGGAAAAGGGAGACAGCACCTACCTGAACGTGCAGTGTTTCGGCAACCGTTCCACAACAATTCCCGTATTCACCCAGCTCCTCCGCAACCACAGTGACCGCGCCTTGACGGTCATGTTAGCCGATCTCAGCCACCGCATGGACGCTCTGCACCCGGATGTCCTGCAGCCCATCAAGCGCAACCTAATCGACCTGGAGATCAACTATTGCGGTGTCTCCGCCACCAGGCGTTTGTACGACGCCGGGGTGTTATCCAATCTGATCAGCTTGAAATTCGCCGTGGGGCTGGATCTGCGTATCGGGGAACGGGACTTCTCCCGGCTCCCGCAGATCCGCCGGATCGTTTCTCGGAATTGACCATTGCGTCCATAGAACCCTACACCTTCACCAATCTGCCGCACCTTCGTACACTGAATCTGGAGGAAGATCTGGATCACGTGGAATACGAAATAGAAAGGGAGGAGTTCGCGAAGGACAAGTACGGGACGCTTCCGCAACGAGGGAAGTTAATGCAGCAGGTGTATGAACGGCGCTGCAACTGCTCGTACGCGTGGTTGCGGAACTTGTTCAGACGGAAACCGGATCTGGTGGGTGTGCGCCGAGAAGGAGAGATCGCTGTCATTGGCAACTATCTTACTCTGCTCTCCGCTGGCAGCGTTTTAGTGGTGGACTGCGCAGTGAGAAATTTCACAACTCTGGAGGAAATACGCACTGGTTGGACAGGGTTGTCCGTACCGCCCGGCGTGTTCTCTGTAAACACTTCCTGTTGGAACGTAACCTGTTGAATCACAGAACTTGATGTCATTTATACCGGGTGTTTTTCCGAAACTTTGATTATTCTCTGCGGTGCCTTTGCCTAAATTAACCATTTAATTTAATACTGTCCTGGGTTGCCCAGCTGCGTGAGATAATTTTTAGGAAATAAGTATTTGTTATGCACCCACCGCTATATCAAACTGCATACACCTGTTTGAAGTCAACAAATTCTCCAAGAAAAAAAACAGTTGCAACTTGGCTGATATAAAACAAATAAACAAAACTTTTAAGTATGCATGCTGCTTGTAAGCCTTCTATCGCCTGTTCCGACTGAAAGTAATGTGAGCTTGACCTTTGCTTTGGCTCGATTAGTAAATGTACTTACCGGACTCTTATGCAGCTGAGAATAACTTTCTGACAAATTTACGGAGTGCGAATATAGAAATATTGCAGTACAGTGGATACCTCTACCGATATCTTATCGTTCGTTTTAGATATGAAAACTGCTAAGAGATTGCTACGCTTTACCGACAGCTAACATTTTGGCAAATTGACGGCAGAAATGCGATGAAAATTATATTAGTTTTACGTTACCCTCATGATAATTTCCCTTTATTTAATATGTAGTTTTTAGACGCTTGTTTTGTTCCGGTTATCTTGTAACAACCTAATGCGAGATCATCCCGCTACGGGTTTTTCTGTGAGGAGTTCGAAAAGATGTACCCTCTCTCACAAACACACTGACCACAGTCGCGGCGTCCATGTCCGGCACCTAAACAGCGCCGAAATAACCAAATTATTGTAGCAGAATTACGGATGAAGTATTAGTATTACGGATTTCAGTTCCACCCTGTTGGAAACACAAATATTTGTTCTTCATTACTTGTATAAGAGGAAGAAAGAGCCCTGGTCAAGACCCCAAAGAGACATATTATAATCTCTTCGGGGTCTTACCCGGCAAAACGAAAAGTTCTGCTGCTTGAGCATTGCAAATAACAATGCCTATTCCAGCCCTTGAACGAGCCGAATTGTATTTATGTCTGTTGGCGAAAAATGTAAGGTCTCCAGTATACGAGTAGCCAAGGTTGGAAACTTGGAATTACGAGAATCGAGAAACACCGGTTGCTAGATACAGTTGTTTAACTGCCAGTTTAGATTGTTTCACACAGTTATAAGAGAGAAGAAACCAATACTTCTAGCAAAACAAGAGTCAGAGTAGTAGCTGCTAGCTGCTTATATCGGCGGTCGTTCTACAATCATGGCATATAACCAATTGGTTAACACTACTTAGCCAACTGCTGCTTATTTAACTGTTAACATTACTTAACCAATCATTGATTATTTATTGCTAGTAGTCCAAGTTTCTCCCGCAGCACAATCCATGAGCATCCACTCGGAGTGGTACAGGAATGGTGAGCAGACACATACAAATTCACATGAATAACGTCCAAGACCACTACGTTTCCGGCGTTCCGCAACACGCTGGCTGCCCGATCGTGCGTGGCTTCCTTCAAACTCTGTCCGTTCACCGGCATAATGAGATCGCCAGGCTGTAGTCGTCCTGCAAATCAACCGACCATACTAAAGCCTATTTAAACTTAGCCATTTTTAAGCTTCTGAATTTTTTATGCAGGATTCGCCGTTGGTATTAGGCTATTAGCGCATGTGCACAAAGTAGAGCCATAGAGCAGTGCTGCCGTCTGCTGACCCGCCATTTCGTCGACCGTCATTTGGTTGAACAGACACGATAATATGGAACCGTCACGACGTCGAGTCAGTGTTTAGCAAAACCGTCTTAAGCCTTGTCCCGAATTCGAAGCGAATCTTGTTGCGATACAGCAACTCCACCTCGCGAGGTGGCTTCCCCGGTTCTACGGCAAGCAATTTTTTGACTTGCTTTAGACATCGTCGGAGCACAACACGCCGTCTTTCGAGCGGCATGTTTCAGTATACTTATGGAGCCCGTTTTCATATACATTTTTACGTCTAAAATACATGGTCTCTGGGACTATATGGCCTTTTGAAATTCAAAAAACACCCATCCTGAAAACATCTTTTAAATGAAGAAACAATGGGCGCTTTTTTCTCGAATAGAACGGGTTCGCGTACCGTATCTGTAGGCGTGGCCACTGCATACAGCCACCTCGTGCGGTTGAGCAACCGTACCATAACGAGATTCACTTTGAATTCGGGACGAGGCCTTAGGTTTTTTCGGTCTTTTCATGTTTCTTATATTTTCTTATGTTTTCTTTATTGTTCTAAAGTTTTCTTACCTTGTTTTATTCTTTTTATTGTTCTAAAGTTTCGCTTAGTATCTGTAGTCGCCCTAGTACCTTCGACAATGTGTCGGTTGACGAAGTGTTAGTCGACGAAATTTGGGTGAGCCCTGCCGTCTTCATATCGGCTGGCATATCGGGCTGCTCCGCAATGCACAAGTTTACAACCGCTTATTTACCGTCATCATAGGCTCTTCCTCCGACTTCGATCGTTTTCACAAAGATGGGCTTATCTCCAGCCCACTTTCCATTCCCACCAACCTAAACACAGCATTATTTTCGATTTTTCAAGTCAGTACCTCGTGACAGTTTGATGGTGAACCCTTCTCGTACGACGCTGGAGCCTTCCCGGTTACGCAACGAACGTGGCAGTCAGTTTTATAACCAACCCGGTTTTCTGTCAATAGTTCGTTGCGCGGTTACAACCGGTTTGCAGGGATTGACAAATAGTCCGCCGTCATACAAAAGGGGTGCAGTATCAAATTTGCCCGAGGCCGTTAGAATTCAGTCAGCACTGCTTCATACAGTCTGCAATTCAATTCGGAACTGCAGCCCTTACACGGGAACACTTACAGATACTATCGAGAATCCTAGTTGACCGTCCTCGCCACGTCGCAACACAACCGTTACGGTGTCCGGCAGTGTGCAAAAATTGCCATCATACGTCGACGGCATTTGCCGTGGCTGAGCCGAAAACGGTGGTTTTTTCGACTGCGCTGCGGCGTGTTTGGTTAGGGAAAGGTCCAACAATTCGGTTGACAGTAACAGCCCACCCTGTAATAGCACAATAACGACATTCCCACTCTATTTTCATCAAAGACGTCGCAAAATGACGTGGCTAATTGCTCAGCCTCACCGCAACGGGTCCATCCTGCAGTTCCTGCTCGCTCATCAACGGGAATCGCACAAGGAAGAGCAGTCCGCCCAGCATTCGCCGCCGGTTGGCAGCATTTGGCTCCTCGTTATTGCGGATGCAGGCTGCTTCAGCCCATCTATAAATTATTTGTTGCTTATTATTCTCAGTTTAAACTCAATCGGATATGTTTTTCCGTCCCATCCCAATGCTTAAATGCCGAACTATCAACTAGGTGATTCGGTGTTATATAAAAAAAATCGTGCCATATTGGGAACCTTTTACCGGAAAACTTACCGCATTTTACCAATCAGTGTCCCTGGGTTTGAATTTTTTGTAAGAACTCCAGGAGAGGACTTTATTTCGGTGTAAACCAATTTTCAAAAGCGCGGCTTTTCTCAAAATATGGTCAAGAGGGGGCTGTATTACAAGAGGTACTCAATTAGGGGGACACTGATTGATAGCATACGGTAATTCAGTTTTACCAAGGAAGTACTAGTAAATTACTTCCGCTTAATGAACACATAATGCCCGCGGACGATCAAGCTTTTCGACAAACACGTTGCTAAAACTTGATCTGTGACAAACTTGCAACACACATACGCTGCGACTGCCTCGTAAATGCTGTTCTCCTTTGCCTGCAATGTGCAGCGCGGCAGAATCAGCTCCAGTGTTCGCTTGTCCAGTGTCTTGAAATATTCGGAGTGTAAAACAGTTTCGGCATGAACATCTATCACTTTTAAGCAGGGTTCCACGAAGACTGCAGCTTGCCATTCAACTGCCTAAAATGAAATGTCATAAGACACCGGGTTCATCAAGGAGCCGTATACTGTTTATCTACGGAGCGATGAAGACAAAGACTCGTACCAAGCCCAAATGCATTAAGCAGGTGCGCGCTTCAAGAGCGCAGATGGCAAACTGAAAGCAGGCATCGACGAGCCCTGGCACATCGTATCTGTCGGCGCAGTACAGCGTAGGGAAGACCGTCTCGCGGTTGAGATCAACGCGGTAGGTATACAGATAGCTGGAAAAATCGAACTTAGACGTGAAAATTATCGATCAGAGGTTGTGGTAACTGGAAATGAGAAAAATAAATATAAATTCACCTTAGCATATTGGCAAATGCTTCGGGATGAACATCAGTGTAACAGGCAAGCGCGAGGAGATCACGAATGTGCTTTATTGACAAATAAAGGGAACAATGCTGCGTAATAGCAGGGAAAGCAAAAACAAAGCACTGATGGCTAAGCAAGCAAGTGAATGCTAGAAGAGCTCTTGAGCGTTCGTCAAGGCGTGAAAGAAGCAACTGGCGGCAAGCACGTGCTGTGTGCCATCAGCTGTGTGATGATGCGCAGACTGGACTCAATCCAACGCGAGCGTACGCTGAGTCATACAGCGATAGAGGGACGAGAGAGCAAGTATGCTCAGTGTGCGCTGCATATATCCGCTTCAGCGGATATGAGCAGTGCAGCACACGTACGTACAGCGAGAGAGGCGATATGGCAAGCATGAGTGCAGTACGTCCATGGTGGGCCGTATGCACCAGGCGCAGTCATGTGCCTCTGACATGCCTCTGGGCGGGAATCCGAGCTCCTGCGAAGGATGCTCCGACTCGGTACCGCACCAGTACCGCACAACTCTCCAGTCGGACCCAATGTGGGGTCGCTGGTACGCGTCCTCTGGCAGTGGGAGTCCGGTGTCTGGTCGACCGTCCCTTCTTCACTTCCGAACCCATGAGTGGAAGCCACTCACGGCCGAGAAATCCGGAAGCCGCTCGGGCGTTTCGTTGGACCGGTGTTGCTTCTGTTGGCTGGCTTCTTGCTTCTGTTGGCAACGGAGAACAATGTGAAAGAAAAGTGTAATGAAAGTTGTATACAGCGCGAAAGAAAGTATGAAATAAAGTTTAATCACAATTCCAGTGAGCCAAAGGGGTTTACAAAACAGATCTGTCAAAGAGATCGAACTAGAAAAATACAATTCCGTTTGTTAGGAAAAATGCTAAAAAAATGCAAAAATCTGTCCGGGGTCCTATTCCGACTAGGATGACGTCCACGGGGTCTCCTGTCCACTTTCATCCGGTGGGTCCGGGGCATCGGTTCCCGGGTTACCCGTCGTAACCGGTTAAATTCACCGAGGTCGGATAAGCACGGTTAAACACTTACTTCCGACTCGTATCCGTCCGTTCGGGATAGAGAGGCACTGTTGCGGTTGCAAATGCCGAGGCATCCTCTCTGAATGGGGAATAGAACCGAGGTCGGTTTGACCAAGGTCGGCCTACCGGTAAGTCGACCGGCGGCTAAGGGAATTCGGCTATGTTCCGAATTCCTTAAAGTCCAGGTCGGAGAAAGCTGTATGTAAATCATGCAGCCTGTGTGGTCGTCATGTACAGCAGTTCCGTTCAAAAGTGGTCGGTTACAACCGTTCAATCTGCTACCACGAGCCTGGTTTGTAGGGGCTATCCGAGTCGAACTGGCTCGAAGGTCCGGTCGGAATTCATGAGTTTCATCGATGGAAGTGTCCAGTCGACTTCCATCCAATCTGTTCCGTTGTTATCCGACCTTCTGTCGAGGTCGGTTATCCTATCCGTCAGTGGTCGACTAGGGTTAACCTGCAATAACATGCCCATGGGGCTAAACAAGTTCCTCCAAGTCGAATTCGTCCACCGCAGATATCTGTCGTTCTTCTTCCGTCATGTTGACTGAGTTGCCGACTTCCGACATGTGGTCGGTTATAGTCGACTTCGGAAGGTCGGATGAACTATGTTTCCATCCGTCCGAAGGTCGGATTTTTCCGTTAGGAGGTCGGTTCTCGACTTCTGAATGTCTTTGCCGACTTGTTGTCGTACCCTACCGACTTGTGTACGGTCACTTCCGACCTCGGCTTGAGGTCGGATATCCATATCCAAGTTCGGAGGTTGGCTATTTTCCGACTTCCTCAAGTCGGAAAAACTTTGTGTTTTATCCGACGAAAGGCTAAATTCTTCCACTAGGAGGTCGATTTCGTACTTCTGGTTGATTTTCCGACTTGTTGTCGCCTACTTCCGACCTCCATCTGATGGTTGTCGACTTCATTTTAGGAGTTCTGTGCGTTCGATACAGTTGGCCGGGTCCGTGGTGTCAGGACATCCTTCGGTCAGTTCGGACTGGCAGAGGGATGTTCGGCAGCACAACTCCGTTCCTTCTGGTGATCTCTGACGTGAACTCCAGGTCGGATCCGAGCTACTGTTGAGGTCGGTCAATCCGAATTGCTTGCTTCTGGGTCGCCCAGTCCTGCGAGGTAAGGTTTTCCTCCGGCATCTGTTGGCCGATTGACTGGCGTTTCATCATGCACTGCGCTCGCTCACAACGCTAAGGGTCTTTGTGGCCCCGGTTGCCGAGCCGAGCTCTTTGGTTTAAACTTCATGCACATGCAAGTCCCTGAGGTCGTCAGATCCGATTTTCCATTCTGTTTTGTCGCGAACCTGTGACGCCTAGCCGCTTCTGTTGGGGGTAGACGACTCATGTCCACGGGGAAATTTTCTTCTGCCGCTGACGAAGACCGACTGGCCGGTACTGTTGCGGGCAGGTGGTCATCGTCATCGGGGTTCGTTAAGGGGGTGCAGATCAAGTATTCTAACTGGGTCTGCCTAGGATGTTCCATTGGAGACATGGGGAAGCAGGTCGCGGCGGAGTCGTTGGTACACCAGTATCCAAATCACCGTCGCTGTTCCTCTTCAGGGAATGGCAGCACGTTCAAAGACGCGCGTAGTCGTGGTCACCGGTGAATCGGCTGGTTTACCCGATGTCGTCCGGGGGAGACTGCGGTTGATCTCCAGGTACAGAGCCTGTAGGTCTGGATTCAAACGGAGAATCCGGTTAAGTTACCACGTTGCTACTGCCAGCTTCCGTCCATGGTCGACTTCTTGTTGGTCGGCTACCAAATACTCCGTCGATCTGTGTGATCGTCTAAAGGTAGCGAGTCGTGGTTTTAACGATCTGCATCGTTACAGGTCGAACAGTTTGGTCTCCAAACCGATCTTTGTGATCGGCTTGCACAACCGACCTTTGTGGTCGACTTGCGCAGCAGTATCCGTTATGTCTCCAAGTTATGGGCAAAGTACGAAGTCGACCTTTGTGGTCGGCTCCCGTACCTAGTCAAATCCGAGTCTTCCTGCACTGTTGGCGGCTCGGCCGAGGATTTCCGCTGTTTACAATGGTGAAGGCTGCTCGGCTACCCGGTTCCGAAGGTGGCCACGGGTGCTTGGCAAACATGGCGTGAAACGCGCGCAGTCACGTGTTTCGCGCCATGTTAGCGTAATCCTCTCGGTTTCTTCTCCGAGTCGGTTGGCCGGAGTATCGACCTCCATGTAACGCGGATTGGGGCTTCTGTTGGCTCCGATGGTCGCAGAACGTGGTTGACGATCTGCTTTGTTAGCAGATGTGGTTACGATCTGTCTTTGCCAAGCTGGTGAACTGGGGTCGATTGCCCAGTTCGTTCCAGGGGATTCCTTGGGGGACGTACCGGTACGGTGGAAGAGCCGAAATACCCGGGTCTAACCACGCGTTTCCGGGTCCGACCAAAGAATCCGGCCGACTTGTGCCGTCGGCTTTTCTGGCAAAATCGTCGTTGACGTCCGCCGCGTACATGGTTGGTCATTTTCCAAAAAAAAAGAACTAAAGAGAAGTGTCCGTTCCGAAGTCGGTTCTCGACGGCGCTGTTTCTCAGCTAGACTGTTTCTCAGTCGAAAGGTCGGTTCTCGACCGTGCCGTTTCGGCAATGCCTCCTTGATTATTCCAATGAGGGATCGAGTTCCAATGTGGAACTCGATCTTAACTGAGTGGGACTTCGACGGGTTTGTCGCCGCCGAAGTAATCTTCTTCTTCATCATCGTCCGGGCCAGGTCGGTTATGTGGCCGTATGTTCGGGTCCCTAGGTTTGCAAGTCGCCGGGCCGCTCCGTTGAGACATCTCGTCGGTCTCATCTGTTTCGCCCTGCGCTCGCTCTGCTCTTCCTCGATTCCTTGGCCGCTTGTTTGCGGAGCCGCAGCGCGAACGGTCGTGCGCCGGGTGCTATGTCATCCGACATCCAAGGTTCGTAGGGCGACGAGTTGAACCGCTAGGCAAAGTTATCTTTTCGCGGTACCAGCTGATGAATCGGTTGCATCGTCGCTGGGATCTACGTGATCCTCACGAAAGGCATACTTTGTCGCATACCGTTCGTGGGTGTACAGCAAGTCACGCATCCAGACAGCTAGGATGACACTTCTCATTGGTGTGCCGAGTTGGGCTACGAGGGTTTCCACAGCTGCTGGTATCGCTTCATTGAGGTACAGTCCGTACAGGGTGCCGTGGCTCCGTCCTGGGCATGTCACTTCTCCTTCCGGAAGATACTGGGTTAAATCAGTGCTGCCCGAGCCGCGGTGATTACAAAGGCTGGGTGTGCGTCCGTGATGACGAACTGGGCAACACTCTCCAGCTCGTCATGGGGTATTCGAAGCTCTAGTTGGCTCGCACGTGTTCCGTCCGGGCTGTACAATGGTACATTCAGCAAGACCGGGTCGGTCATCGACGCAACGCATTCGATCTAGTGTACGGGTGTTCAACATTCGGCGCTGTGTGCGCGTTCATGTTGAAGTCGGACCGCCACTGATGTTGTTCGAACAGCGCCTGGTATCCGGATCGGACGAGGAATTGACGAAGGTTTTCTACCATCCATGATTTGTGGTCGGTTCCGTTCCTCGTAATTCATGACGTTCATAATGTGGTTCGTCCTTTCGGTAGGGTGTGGCATGACGACCTCAATTCCTTGTTGTCGAGCTCGGTCATAGCGAGGGTCTTCTCGGATCGGCACTTCCACCTGCGGCAGTTGTGCCATCTGGTCGGCTACGTCGACGTCCATTTGCTCTTGTTGAGCTTCCGGTTCAACTGGGGCTTCGGCCGCCGGTTCCACTTGTTGGCCGTCCGGCTGCTGATCGGGTGGGATGAAGTTACGTTTCCCTGGTGGAGCTCTAGTTGGCTCCTTCCCAGCTTCACGGATAACGGTTCGTTGCGCTTCGATTCTGTCTCGAAGATCAACTGGGCCGATCCGGTGTCGAAGGTCGTGTCCTGCAAGATTCTTGCTGGGTCGGCGCTGCTGTTGTTGAGCCGCCGGTTGAGTCCGGTTTCCGGGCTGGGGGATCTGCTGAGGAACAGTTGGACGAGCCTGAGTGACTACTGGCGTTGCCCTATGTGGGATTGCGTCAACTGTTCCTGGGTTGCCGGTGTGAGGGTGACTGGCTGTTGAGTTCCGTCCGGCATATTC